GTGGTCAATGTCCTCCTGTGGTATCTCATTCCAGGCAACCACCAACTCCTCTCGAAGTGCTTCTAGAGTCTGAGGATTACGTTGCAAATTGAGCAATCTCCTACCCATCATATCCCACACGTGCTCAATTGGGGATAAGTCGGGAGATCGTGGCCATGGTAACAATGTGACATCATTATGTTGAAAGACGTCTATTGTGTGGTCGGGCATTATCTTGTTGGAAAGTTGGATCTGCCAGGGTGTCAAGATAGGGTAAAAGATGGGGTTATAGAGCTTCGTGGATATAACGCTGCGCGTTCATGTTACCTCTGATGAAGATTAAAGGTGACCTGGAACCATAAGCTATAGCACCCCAAACCGTAACTCCTACAGTGTGATGAACATGTCTTTCAACAAAAAACTGTGGATTCCTCCTTTTACCACGGCGCCTTCTAACCCTGGCACGACCATCGTGCATGCCTAAACAAAATCGAGACTCGTCACTAAAGACAATACTGTTCCATTCCTGATCCCAGAGTGACCGTTGTCTGCACCACTCAAGGCGATTACGTCGGTGTTCTCGAGTTAAGGGGAGGACCCAGTGTGGCCGGTATGAAAACAAGCCAAAACTTCTCATTCGTCGGTAAACACTTCGCATGCCAATATGTCTTCCGTGTTCTGCAAACCATTCATTTGCAATGGACCTGGTAGTGGAGAAACGGTCCCTTGAGGCCAATAATCTTAGACGGCGATCTTCACGGTCTGTTGTTCTACGGTGGCGTCCAGTGCCCCTTGCTCTTTGCGTACGGCCTTCTCGAAGCCATGCCTGGCAACACCTAACCACAGTGTCTACACTTCTTTGCACTCTAACTGCAATTGCCCGAAAAGAAAGTCCAGCTTCCTGAAGTCCCACCATACGGTCCCTATCAAACTTACTAAGTTGACGAAATTGTACAGGTGCCGTACTCTAGGCATCGTAACCGATCGTAAAGGCTGTCAAGAACCAAAATCCGCCAACGTTGATTCTTTACTGCGGCTGAAATATTTATTTTTAGAGCCTTAGTGAATTAAAAAAAGAGCAGTATAAAAACCGGAATGTCCAACTGATAAGGCTGAACATTTTTTCACTTGTTATTTACAATAAGATAAATACATTCACCAACTTTTATTAAAATAAAGCCATTTAAACTGGGTGTTCGGATTTATATGTCACTTAGTATATTTCGTTTTGTAAATTTCCCAATCATTTTCCCAGAAAATGCACAGATGTGTCTCCATGTTATAATGAGTGCAAACAATGAGTATTCTGCTTTGCTGTTGATTTTGAGGTCGATGGCAATGATTGACCAGACCTAGCATATTTTTTGTTGCTGTGATTATCATAACATGTCCATTTCTCATCACCTGTCCATACCCCCATGTAAAAAACCTTTTTTCTTGTCTGTGCATCAGCTGGTCTAAAATGCAAAGCACTTTTCAACATCTGCCGGCTTAAGTTCATAAGGTAACCAGTTTTCTTCCTTGGATTCTAATAGTACTGGAATACCTTGTTATATCACCCTCAATAATTCTGCAAGCTCATCCTGCGTTTTACTTGGATCGTCAATGAGTAATGCCCACAATTCTTCGTCTTTTTTTGACTGTCCAAAATAAGGCTTATCGTCAACGCTGGAATCGCAGTCTTTAAGACCATTCCCGACATGGTTTATCAATTGAAGCATTGTCACCATAACCACCATTCTATAGACTTGAGCTGCACTTTTCTTCCAACAGAAACCGAAAAGTAAAACTTCTCGCAAATGTTGCTTACTTACCATAACATTTGACATTTTTAACATCATAAAACACAGGATTTTGCATAAAACTCAAAGCACTATGCAATGTATATATATACTGAGTGACATATAAATCCGAACAACCAGTTTACATGGTTTTATTTTAATAAAAGTTGGTGAATATATTTATCTTACTGTAAATAACAAGTGAAAAAATTTTCAGCCCTATCAGTTGGATATTCCGGTTTTTATACTGCTTTTTTTTAATTCACTAACGCTCTAAAAATGAATATTTCAGCCGCAGTAAAGAATCAACGTTGGCGGATTTTGGTTCTTGACATCCTTTACGATCGGTTACGATGCCTAGAGTACGGAGACCTGTACGATTTCGTCAACTTAGTGAGTTTGATATTGGCCGTATAGTGGGACTTCGGGAAGCTGGAATTTCTTTTCGGGCAATTGCAGTTAGAGTGCAAAGAAGTGTAGACACTGTGGTTAGGTGTTGTCAGGCATGGCTTCGAGAAGGCCGTACGCAAAGAGCAAGGGGCACTGGACGCCGCCGTAGAACAACAGACCGTGAAGATCGCCGCCTAAGATTATTGGCCTTAAGGGACCGTTTCTCCACTACCAGGTCCATTGCAAATGAATGGTTTGCAGAACACGGAAGACCTATTGGCATGCGAAGTGTTTACCGACGAATGAGAAGTTTTGGCTTGTTTTCATACCGGCCACACTGGGTCCTCCCTTTAACTCGAGAACACCGACGTAATCGCCTTGAGTGGTGCAGACAACGGTCACTCTGGGATCAGGAATGGAACAGTATTGTCTTTAGTGACGAGTCTCGATTTTGTTTAGGCATGCACGATGGTCGTTCCAGGGTTAGAAGGCCACGTGGTGAAAGGAGGATTCCACAGTTTTTTGTTGAAAGACATGTTCATCACACTGTTGGAGTTATGGTTTTGGGGTGCTATAGCTTATGGTTCCAGGTCACCTTTAATCTTCATCAGAGGGAACATGAACGCGCAGCGTTATATCCACGAAGTTCTAGAACCCCATATTTTACCCTATCTTGACACCCTGGCAGATCCAACTTTCCAACAAGATAATGCCCGACCACATGTTGCAAGAGTCACGATAGACTTCTTTCAACATAATGATGTCACATTGTTACCATGGCCACCAAGATCTCCCGACTTATCTCAAATTGAGCATGTGTGGGATATGATGGGTAGGAGATTGCTCAATTTGCCACGTCCTCCTCAGACTCTAGAAGCACTTCGAGAGGAGTTGGTGGTTGCCTGGAACGAGATACCACAGGAGGACATTGACCATCTGATCAGAAGCATGCCTAGGCGCGTTGGAGAATGCGTAGCACATCAGGGTGCATCCACACATTATTAAAGGTCAAAGGGCTTTAAAGCAGTGCAATTATTTTGAAATTTATATCATTTACTTATTATGCTTCATTAAGTACTTATACAAAATTTTATTAAAATAAAACCATTTAAACTGGGTGTTCGGATTTATATGTCACTTAGTATAGTAATCCACCGCTGTCTACCCTGTCTGGTATCATTGCAATCAGATGCCGCTGTATACTCGTAACCTGACCTCGCCCCATCTCTTAAAAACGGTTTGAATTAATTTTGACTCCCGGTGTATCTAAACTACTCTTATAGCCCTTACTTTGGAATTAAAGAATGTTGACACTTCATTTTGAAATATTTTTGATCGCTACCTTAGAAAACACAAAAGCAAATGGTACTCATTGTTTGGAGTGTTATGAAGACCATTTTATTTTAACTTCACTACGTAGCGTCTACCACTAGGCGACCGCGAGGAGATGAAAACAAAGTGGCAACTTCAGCAGCGTTCAATCTTTTCATGATCTGAAATATTTTAAGTATCGTACACTACACACCAACACATTTAGCACGTATAGCATTATGAAATATTTCATGCATGGCCATAATGTCTCCCAATTATCCGCAAACATCCATATACCAAATGAAACTGACCAGCTAAGTGTGTGTACGAACCATTTCCACAGTCACAATATTTCTCTAAGAATTGCCTCGGGAAATGGCCACGAAAATGCACGTACACGTTATTATAAGTGCTTTATTGCGGCGATCGCGTTTTCGCCATTGGGAAACGATAGTCTCAAGCGGCTCAAGTAGGTTAATGCTTAGCGCAGGATTCGGTACACGTACATCTGGAAATGTAAAAAGACACTCTGATCGTGTGCAAGTTTGGGATCTGTCTCACAAAATATCATATCAAATGACGAATCGTCATCTATTTACGTCTAAGGGGAAGTGACATTTCTCCCCACAGGCCAATAATGATAATGAGCCGTATTCATAAAAGAGAAGCATATCGTTGTAAGCATCCGGTAAAAGTATAAGGTCTTGCTTCGGAGAAAAAGGTAGAAGTATAATCATATCCTTGTTTCCATATTCATAGTGACTACCTTATACTCGCGAGAATATCCTCCAAGAAGAAATAAAAGGTTGACTGGTATTTGCATCTTGAGCGACATATCCTGACTTGTTAAAGCTTGTAGTTGTCGTCGGAGTTCGTTCACTCAGCATCACTGACAGTTGTACTCCAGAGCTTACACACACCGTTCCGGATTCTTCCTGGATACAGTTTTTTATCAAATTAATAAGCATGTCATCGTCAGGTGATGAGGAAACTATAGAAAATAATGGTAGTGACCTACAGTTCATCGCAGATAAATTATTTTGCAACACTCACAAGTTCCAAAAATAAGAATGAGAAAGGACGATGCCTTGAAGATGTTGAAAAAATACGATTCAACATTCGGTAAACCATTAGATACTAAAGGCTTATTAAAAAAAATCAACAACATGAAATCAAGATTGAAGAAAAACACAGTTCTAAAAAAAAAAAATGGTAATAAAGCAATTCAATTGAAGGGCCCAGTGCAAAAACCGGCCAAAGACCAATTTTGTCAAAATTGAGATTATGACTTTTTTTGCTTGGAAAAATGTATCCGCGTCATTTGGAGCAAGAACAGTACACGGATTGTGTATAAAACTCCACTTAAATCAACGTGGTCGCTTTTTGCACCAAATATATCCCTGACGTAGTTCTCACCATCAATATTATTGGGCGCAATAAGCGGCCACGTGACACACATAGCCGGTTTTTGCGCCCAAACTTGAGCAAGGTTTAACCTTACTTTTCTGACGTTTGTGGAGTGCACATCGCCTTGTGCAAATGGACAGCTCAAGTGAGTTTTCCAGTGAAAGTGATCCATACCATGACTCCGATAATTATGATATGGACCCAGATTATGTATTGGAAAGTGAGAGTGGCAACAAAAATGGCAGAAAGTGTTTTATTAAATTATTAAGTAATGCCTATTCTGTTACTGACCACGATAAGGAACAAGGTAATTTGATCAACTTTAAAACATGATAAAAATAACAATGATGTAAATAATTCCTTGTAGATGAAGAAATAAATAAAGCTAGTACGTCAGGTATAAATCAGACACCTATCTCAAAGCATGTTACTGCAGGCGACAACTCAAGCAGCTCAACTGAGGAAGGTAAGTGATCTAGTATTGTTCACTAGCCTTGTAATGCATATATTTCTTTAAATGCAGATGAACCTGCAAAAAGCCTCTAATAAAAGAGGGTAAAAAACGGCAGCGCACTCCTCAAGCACGGAAAAGAAATGTAAGAAAGTTGGAAAGGAATTCTGGCAAAGAATATAAAAGTAGTGGAGGTAAAACTATTGAAGCAAAACGGCAGGGATTCAGATGTGATTGTCGTAAGAAGTGTTTCGAAAAATTCACGGAAATGGAAAAAGATGCAATATTTACAGAGTTTTATGCAATGGGAGATAAGAACATTCAGGATAGTTACTTAGCAGCGCTCATAGATGTAAAAAAAGTCTCCAGAAGGAGGAAAACTAGCGTGGGTGAAAAAAAAAAGATATTCTTATGGTTATAGTATTAAAATCTCTTCAAAAACTGAAAAAGTGTGCCGCACAGCATTTTGTAACTTGCATGCGATTCACAGATCACGAGTAACGAGAATTTCACAGTCAAGAGTATCTGGTCTGCTGCTTCAAAAGGATTCCCGTGGTAAGCACCATAATCGACCAAGCAAATTACCGGAAAATGTTGTAGCACAGACTGAGGACCATATAAACAGTTTTCCAGCACGTGAGTCACACTATTCACGAAATGAAAATAAAAAGAAGTACCTATCAGCAGAGTTGAATGTCCGCAAAATGCATGAACTTTATTTGCAAAAATACGAACCTGAACAGTACAGCCTGATAGAAAGCCATGAAAAAGCGAAACCTAAAGTAATGTATGACACTATTATAGGTATTTTACAGAACATTTTAATTTGTCATTCGGATATCCGCGTTCGGACACTTGTGCTACTTGTGACCTACTGAAAATACAACTTGATGCCGCTTCTACGGATGAACTTAAGCAGCAACTAAAAGTTCAAAAAGATGTTCATCTTCGGAAAGCTCAAGCTTTATACGACGATTTGAAAGAAAAAACTGAAATGGCACGAACTAACGAAACTGTGGAGACTATTTGCTTCGATTACCAGCAAAATTTGCCTGTTCCGGTGTTGACTACAGAGGGATATATTTTATGCTAGGCAGATTTGGGTATAAAGCAGCTTTTCTACTCTTGTTCCAATAACAAATCGGTTAGTTATATGTTTGACGAAACTGTAGCGAAGAAAGGCTCTATAGAATCAGTATCCTTTTTGTGGCATTTCATTAACAAATATATAAGCAGATCAGTTACCGTTTTGCATATCTTTACAGACAACTGTGGGGGGCAAAATAAAAATGGGGCAATGGTCCACTTTCTGTCAACTTTAGTCAACAACGGAAGATTTTCTAAAATAGTGCATCATTTGCCAGAGCCAGGTCATAGTTTTTTGCCATGTGACCGAGATTTTGCACAAATTGAAAAAAGAAACGTAAAAAAGAACTTTTGTATTTGCTTGAAGAATGGTATTCGTTTATTCGTTAGTAGAAAACTGTGGTAAGAAGTTTACCGTTGAAAGAGTAACACAGGATATGGTGTTTGATTTTAAAACATATCTTGAGCTTTTTTTTAAAAAACTTCTGTGGTTAAAAAACAACCATTTACATTATCGAAATATAGATTCTTTATATATGATTCTACATTCCCTGAGAATATTTCAGTATCTCAAACACATAATCCTGCCATTACAATCTCATATCCCTTAAGTAAATGCGCAGGTACCCCTATTGACCCAAACAGAGCTCCTCTAGCATATAACAAGAAGCTACCACTGAAAGCAGCTAAATACGATAGCATTATGCCATTAGTGAGAAAATATGTGCCCCCCGTTTGTCAAACATTTTATGATACGATCGAAAGGACAGATGGGGATTCTGATTAGAGCTTATTCAGACTGTACTGTTTCGTTTGATTATTTCTTTGGGTTACCTACTAAAGTGATGTATGCACTTTTTTTATTGATTACTTCGATATACCTTATTCAGACTGTTCTGTTTCGTTTGATTGTCGTTTAAATTATTTATTTACGTTACTTAAGTGTTAGTATGCACTTTGTTTATTGATTAGTTCTATTATACCCAATAAAGAAGTTTTTTTTTGAAAAATAATAGCATTTCTTCTTTTTTTATAAGAATTCCTCCCATTTTGGCGACAAAAAGCGTCCACGTGGAAGGTTCAATTTCAAATTTCAAAAAATCTAAAGTAAATATTTGTGCATATATTGATGGAAAAGATGAGTTTTTGGCCAAAGTACGGCTGCAAAATAACAAATTTCGCAACACTTTAACTATGAGTGAATAACGAGTTTTTCTGATTTTTCTCAAAACTCAGAAATGTGCACGTGGTCGGTTATTGCACCGGGCCCTTCAATTGTTAGATTGGGAAAGAAAGTTGCTCAAAGCTATGGAAGGTGACTGTAATCCTACAATTGGGAAAATTAGAGGTGCCATTCAGGTTGGTAGTATTCAAGAAGAAAGAAGTGAATTATATACCGAGCGCAGTGATCAAACAGTTAGTACCACAGCGCCAGCAATTCAAAAGTCATTGCCACCAAAAAGAAAATTAGCAACAGAGAAGTACGTAACTCAGGAAACCAAAGGTTTAACTATATACAAAAGAACTGCAACGTCTAGTGCTATTACAGCAGTACCAAACATGTATTTTACAACAAGAGTATATAAAACGAAATCAGAAATGATGCAGCGTTAGAAGTCACCTGTAACTTATGACGTTCACGAAAATAAAACTTATTATAACTTATAAATACACTTTAATCAGTAAAACTATTTATTATAATACTCAAGTTTCTTCTTATTTGTTGACCTAGTTGGCGGAGAGGAAGTTCGTCATTCTTATGATTTCCTTCATCTTTGACGGGGTCTTGTTCAGCTAACTCAAAGTCAGGATCGCCCAAGCTCTTCGCAACGTTATGGGGTACAATACAAGCAATAATTATTTACGGCACATATTCCAACTATGCGCGGCAAACATACTGTAGGATAGGAAACCGGCGTTTCAGTTGGCCGAAACAGCACTCAGTCATAACTCCTTGTTTTAAAAGATTTCTATAATGTATACTAAGTGACATATAAACCCGAACACCCAGTTTAATTGGTTTTATTTTAATAAAAGTTGGTGAATGTATTTATCTTACTGTAAATAACAAGTGAAAAAATGTTCAGCCTTATCAGTTGGACATTCCGGTTTTTATACTGCTTTTTTTTAATTCACTAACGCTCTAAAAATGAATTTCAGCCGCAGTAAAGAATCAACGTTGGCGGATTTTGGTTCTTGATATCCTTTACGATCGGTTACGATGCATAGAGTACGGAGACCTGTACGATTTCGTCAACTTAGTGAGTTTGATAGGGGCCGTATAGTGGGATTTCGGGAAGCCGGACTTTCTTTTCGGGAAATTGCAGTTAGAGTGCAAAGAACTGTAGACACTGTGGTTAGGTGTTGTCAGGCATGGCTTCGAGAAGGCCGTACGCAAAGAGCAAGGGGGGACGCCGCCGTAGAACAACAGACCGTGAAGATCGCCGCCTAAGATTATTGGCCTTAAGGGACCGTTTCTCCACTACCAGGTCCATTGCAAATGAATGGTTTGCAGAACACGGAAGACCTATTGGCATGCGAAGTGTTTACCGACGAATGAGAAGTTTTGGCTTGTTTTCATACCGGCCACACTGGGTCCTCCCTTTAAGTCGAGAACACCGACGTAATCGCCTTGAGTGGTGCAGACACCGGTCACTCTGGGATCAGGAATGGAACAGTATTGTCTTCAGTGACGAGTCTCGATTTTGTTTAGGCATGCACGATGGTCGTGCCATGATTAGAAGGCGACGTGGAGAAAGGAGGAATCCACAGTTTTTTGTTGAAAGACATGTTCATCACACTGTTGGAGTTATGGTTTGGGGTGCTATAGCTTAGGGTTCCAGGTCACCTTTAATCTTCATCAGAGGTAACATGAACGCGCAGCGTTATATCCACGAAGTTCTAGAACCACATCTTTTACCCTATCTTGACACCCTGGCAGATCCAACTTTCCAACAAGATAATGCCCGACCACATGTTGCAAGAGTCACAATAGACTTCTTTCAACATAACGATGTCACATTGTTACCTTGGCCACCAAGATCTCCCGACTTATCCCCAATTGAGCACGTGTGGGATATGATGGGTAGGAGATTGCTCAATTTGCAACGTCCTCCTCAGACTCTAGAAGCACTTCGAGAGGAGTTGGTGGTTGCCTGGAATGAGATACCACAGGAGGACATTGACCACCTGATCAGAAGCATGCCTAATTTTGAAATTTTTATCATTTACTTATTATGCTTCATTAAGTACTTATACAAGATTTTATTAAAATAAAACCATTTAAACTGGCTGTTCGGATTTATATGTCACTTGATATATTTCTGCACCTGGAGTAGGATTTCTGAAGGGATTCATAAGGCACCGCTCAATACCATAGCCGTCATCGCCAATTAGTACAACATTTGCTTTGTTCATTAGTTGTGATCTAGCTTGTGAATTTCTCCATGGATAAGAACTAGTTAAATGAGTCTCCTACTTCCAAGAGTGGCTAGATCCAAAATTGACAGTATTAAGAAAAAGGCGAAAAACTGTAACTCTTACTATATGTGAGTTTTTAAATCAGTAATATCGTAATATTAATGTACGTAGTAAAATAAATGGATTTTACCAAATAAAACATATTTTTTTGCTCATTTGTCAGTATGGGGTGGGGATAGATCTACCCGAGTTTGAATGTCAACTCAGGATTTACCCGGTAATAAAACGAAATTCGTGTGAATTCTTTTCTGATGTATTAACATTAGATCACTAACATAACAAAAAGGAATAAAAAAAATCATATGTTCTCTCTTGATAACTGTGTTTCAGATACATCACCTTAAAACTCAACTTGAGAAGTAAATGTCCTTTTTGTTAAAATGAGTATAAAAAAGATGATACAGCATCAGCTTCAAAACTACACAGAGTATTAGTAAATCACGCACTGTTTTTATCGGAAATTTCTTCATCTTACTTGCATGATAGAAATCAGTACGTTTCTTACAATGATTCCAAATCTTCACCTTTCTCGGCCTCATCCGGTATACCGCAGGGATCAAATTTAGGTCCTCTTCTCTTCCTTTATTTTATCAATGACCTCTTAACTGCTTAACATGTCCTTCTCTGTTGCCTGCCGATGATTTAGAAATACATGTTCAGATTAACAACATTGATGACTGTCTAATCTTGCAAGCTGACCGGAACCGTATATTTGAATGGTGTTCAACTAATACATTATTTTTTAATGTTAGCAAATGGAAAACCTGTTCTTTCACCAGGAAAACGAATCCAATAGTTTTTGATTACACACTGGAAGGTGTCAGTTTGATGCGTTGTTCAGAAGTAAGACATGTAGGTGTTTTGTTTGATGTTAAATTAGAATGTACAGGTCATATTAGTACAATAGTATCATCCGCTATAAAAAGTCTCGGTTTTTTATAAGAAACTGGAAATCGTTTGGTAGTGAAACGGCACTGAAGGCTTTATACTGCACTTTGGTGCGTTTTAATCTGGAATATGCATCCAGTGTATAGCATCCATATTACCAAATCTATACTAATGAAATTGAGAGCATACAGAGGAGATTTCTTAAATACTTGACAAATTAGATGGTGTTTATCCCAATCGTGGGACTCCCCAATCAGCGACGTTGCTCAGATTTGAAATGCAACCTCTTGAGCTGAGAAGACATGTAGGTGAGTAGGTGTTTGCTTAATTTTTTTTCAGAAACTGGGCGAGCTATGATTGTAATTAAAAATACTGTAACGTCAAATGATATTCAATTACGTTGTCCTTTAAATGGATGTATCTGTTGGGCAATAAATATATATTATTATTATAACTGAATTTTTGTAGGTCTTTTATTACATTTTTTTTTTGTTGAGAAATCAACTTATTCCTTAAAAGTGCATAAATGTGGTTAAAATTTGTCGGATAAGTTTTGAAACACCATACATAATAACGTGCTTGTGAGCTTGTATGTTTTAAATGTTATTCCCATATAGACCATACTATGTAATTTTATTTTGTAAAAATTAGTAAATAAATA